GGCAGAAGGGGAGTTAGTATGATGTGGAAAGGATAGGAGCTCCACAAGGACCAAATATATCTGAGCACAGGGGTCTTTTCTGAGACTGACACTCCACCAAGGACCATGGATGGATATAACCTAGAATCTTTGCTCGGATGAAGCCCATAGTATCTCAGTAACCAATTGGTTTCCCATAGTAAGGGGAACAGGGACTATCTCTGACATGAATTCAATGGCAGGCTCTTTGACCTCCCCACCCCCCAAGGGAGGAGCAGTCCTGCTAGGCCACAGAGGAGGACTTTGCAGCCAGTCCTGAAGATACATGATAAAACAGGGTCAGATGAAAGGAGAGGAGGCCCTCCCCAATCAGTGGACTTGGAAAGGGGCAGGGAGGAGATGAGGGAGGGAGGGTGGGATTGGGAGGGAATAAGGGAGAGGGATACAGCTGGGATACAGAGTTAATAAAATGTAACTAATAATAAAAAATTAAATTAAAATAAAATAAAATAGAAAAAGAAAAAATTAAAAAGAGAAAGCAAATGAGAGCAATGGCTGACAAGGATGCAGGGATAGAGAAACATTTATTCACTATTGGTAGGAGCACAAACTGGTGCAGGCACTATGGAAATTCCTCAAAAAGCCAAGAATATGACCACCATATGACCTAGCCATTACACTCCTGAGCATATACCCTAGAGTCTCTCTCTATATCCTAAACTGAGATGCTTGTTCATCAATGCCCATTGCTGGCCTGTATAAATGTAGAAAGCAGAATCAGCATAGACATTTATCAACTGGTGAATGAATGATAAAAATGCGGACATACACACAATGGAATTTCATTCAGTGGTAAACAAAAATGAAATTAGCAGGAAAATAGATGGAACCAGAAGAAAACTGTAGCGAGTGAGGTGAGCCAGGCACAGAGAAACAAGCACATGCTCTCTCATGGGCCTCCTTACTTTCAAGCTCGAATGTGGTAGGTTCAAGTTAGCATTCCTGTGGAGACTGTAAATCTGAATGCCTTTGAGAGCAGCCATGACTGATGGAAAGAAACAGTAGAATGTAAGTTATATCAAAGTAGAAAAGGAGAATACTGGGGCTAGACAAGTACTTCTAGGCAGGGTCAGCAGATTAGGGAGGTGAGGGAGAAGGAGGGAAGGAGTAACTGAAATACAGGGATACTAGCCACATGGAAACCTACTGTCTTGTAATCAAATTGTTTTTTAAAAAATTCAAAGTTTGAAAAGATATATTCTGCAAGTGTAGAAATAGCTGTTGCCAGAAACCAGGGATCATTAAGCCAAACACTAACACCAGGGTTAGGATTCCACCTCATGCTCATTGAAACCAGATAATAGTACCCTTTCAGTGAACATAACGTATCTTATGTATGCATGATTTAGAGCAGTAAGGCTCAACCTGTGGATCAGGGTCCCCTTGAGGGCCAAATGACCCTTTCATAGAGAGGTCACCTAAGACAATTAGAAAACACTGATATTCACATTGCAATTCGTAACAGTAGCAAAATTACAGTTATGAGGTGTCAACGAAAGTAATTTTATGGTTGGAGGTCACTATAACATGAGGAAATGTATTAAAGGGTTTCAGCATTAGGAAAATTGAAAGCCACCAATGTATAAAAATCAAGCTAAAACTAAGCTGGACTCTTCCTTCCTGGTGGCTAGTTTTCATACTTCTAAAAGGTATTATGCTATTGGTGAGGATGGGAGGAAGATGTTAGAGGGGGAAAGCAGAGAGTAGTCAGAATATTTTCTATACATGTAGAAAATTGTCACATAAAATTAATAAAGAAATACATCATATACATATACAGTAAAATACCTTATAAAGCAACAACAACAACAACAAAATAAAAGAATATTGAGACTTAATGGAAAAGAAACAGGGAAATCTCACAACCTGTTCCCATGTTAGGTAACCTTCAAGAACCCATGCAGTTACTCGCCTGCAGACACCTATCTTTGCATGACTCCATCCCTCTTAGCCCACTAGCCTTTCCCCATTAGCCCTATACTTATCCTTCCCCCAAGCCACTATTTATCTGTCTCAATTTCAAGTGATTAATACAACCAGTACTCTAACCCCCAAGAGAGAGAATTGAAATTATCCACCCTTTTCTTGCCTAAGAAAATATGATCAGAGGGGAAAGACCACATGTGACAGATACAAACATGGGCTCAGGAACGTATATATGTATAGGGTAGAGGGTAATTCTTGGGAAAGGCTAGCAACTTTGGCCATTGTCCAAAGTATTTTCTCAGCATCCCTCTCCACACAGCCAGAGATGCTCAGAACCCACCCTCTCTGTGTACAAGCGAGGATGCCCCAGGTCCTTCTCGTGAAGAGTTAATTGTTTCTAATCACAACTACTCACTGAGTGACCTAGTAAGCAAGACATTAGTGCTGGTTTTCCTTGGAGGTGGCTAACACCTTCATAGTCAAATCACGTGTCCACTCCTCAGACAACTGTGACAGGATTAACTCTTCTTGCTCCAAGTGCAAACCCCAAAGTTATAGCACAGAGACCTCCCCCAGTTTCTCTTTAGAAGGGAGACACAGACCCACAAGCACGCTGAAATATCATAGATCTCTCACAAACTGGAGTTAGCAATGGGCCGAGCTGCAGCTGTATGGCAGGCATTGAAATTTCCAACTCACCACCCTGGAAAATTCACTTCAAGGTATGGGACCTTCTCTGAGAAACAGGTTCTGTTTCAGTCTAGAGATTTGCTTAAGGGAGTTCTGGCACAAGGCAAGTATCCACTCTATTTAGCATTGCTTCTTTGATTTGCAGTTCTTTTGAGATTCTGGTGTTGAGTTTTCCACACATCAATGATTTCTGGCAAATCTTTGACAAACTACTGGAGAGTATAGGATTAACAGTTTCTACTGTGCCTCAGCTTTAGATGACTAAAATAGCAACAACAATGGCTAATTTTCAGAGCATTCATTGGTATCAGTACCCTTCCAACCATGCAAATAAGTACGTGGGTTTTTATGAATACTACAAGCAGATAAAAAAATATATAATAAAACAAATAAAAAGCACCCCAAAGTATACATTTTTCCATGAAAATCCCTTGATTCGATGTCAAGAATAAAGTTTTCAACCAGTATACTTGTGTATCTTCACAGAGATAATATTATATTCATGCAAATAATAGATCCATAGCTCAATAGCAGAAAATATTCACCTCTCTCTCTCTCTCTCTCTCGCTTGATCAGAAATCTGAAAATTGTTTCAACTGAGTAATTGTAGATGTGTTTACATTAATAAATAAATAATAGTCCTTCACCTACTTCATGCACTCCAATCAGTTAGTAAGTAGGCCACTAATTGTAACTTGTACAGATAAACACATTTATTTGTCTCCTCTGAAACTCTGGCATCCTGTGAAGTTGTTATTCACACCTCCCAGCAACACAAGGATTTTTATAAAAAAATAAATAAATAAATAACAAACTAAAGTAACCCCAAGCTAATAAGAGTATTGATTCCTGTTGGGTTTGTTCCTAGAGATCCATGCAATTATGTTATTTGATTTTCAAATAAGAATAGGAAATAAATGAGAGGAAATGTTCATCTTACATGAACTAAATTAGTTTACATCTGTGGGATTCTTTTTTAAACCAAACTGAGAACAACAGCAACAACAGCAAAAAAAAATCTCCCTGTTGATCTAATTAGCAGTAAAATAAATAATAATAAGTAAATAAATTATACAGCTATATACCTTAAGACAGTTTAGGAGACCTGTTTTGTTTGTTGAGTGAATTCTCTGTCTCCAATCTTCTCTATCTGGTACCAAATAAATTAGGAGCTATGGCAAATCAAAGACTCTCCTAGGGAAACCTCTAAAGTCCCTTACTGAAAGAAGTATTTCACAAGGAACATGGAGCATGAGAAGAGCCAACATGATAATTATTAAATATTCTTAATAGAAACAAATAGAAACTCTTCTAGGATTGATCAGCTCACTGCTAGATTTGGGGGAAAAACAACTTTATCAAAGAAATAACTGAAGGAGATTTTTAAAAACCACAAATGAGGCTTTGTTCTGTAGTGATTTACCTGGGCCCTGCTTTAAAGCAATGACTGGTGATACCTATTCCAAGGGTCCTAAGTAGGATTTAATTTGTATGCACCCTAACAAAGGAAAAGCAAAAGGCATAAACATCTCTAGCTGTGGTGTGGAGCTTACCATAGCTACTGAGCACTGCCTATCGGATGAAATATTCATCTGTTTATCTCCAGTCTTTAACTTGGAACAATTCCTTTCCCAAAATAATTATAAAGCAATTACTTGCCAGTTTTCACTTTATTGGTTACTACTTTTACTCAAAGAATAGCAATTACTACATAATTACAGTACATGGTTATCTGAACAGTCTTAACTGTGCCCACTGACAATAAATTATAGTCACCATGGCTCTAATTATATATTCTATAGAGCATAAATATGTAATGACTGTGTAGTTACATATTAATAAGCCTTGCTCTACTTTTCAGAGGCCAGTGCTGTAAAAATGCCATTGGATTACATCCATGTGGTAACCTGTGGAGTCATGCTTACTGTTCATTTTGGCTTTCTGGAAGGCAACACTCTACAATCAATGTGCGTTCAGCACTGCCCACCAGTTCTCAATTTCATCCAGGTACTCCCACCAGGACAGACAGAAAATCAAAAGTGAAAAGTAAAAATCACTTTGCTAATCCTTCTTTCTAGGGTACCCTTTTGATGAAAAACTCTCAGCTTTGGCTTAGATTCAAGAATTGCAGGTGCAGAAGCTTGGCAGTGCCCTGGCAGACTTACATTCACGCAATCATTTCATACAAGAAGATTGGATTCAAAGGCAGAGAAAGTCCTGAGCCTGGTTTTGAACCATGACATTGTTGCTTGGATTTTAGGACATAATTTTAACCCCAAAAATGACCATAGGGAATCAAATACCTGAGGATTATGAATTGAACCATTAATACAACTTGCCTTTACCAACCTTATCTTAAAATCTGTAAGTGGATTTCGCAAAACTCTGCATTACACAAAATGAATGATGTCATCACCCTTCCAAATAAAGCCTATCAAACTGCATTATGCCTGGGCTACGCCACAAAGTTCCAAGAGCAGTACACGCCACTGTCTTTGAAGTGCACGAAGTAGCAAAGAATGTTTGGCAAAAACTGGCTTCAAAGAGACAGAAATCAGAAGATGAAGGCCAAGAAAACTGCTCTCCAGGAGTTAATGATGGTCTCTGAGAGGTGTCACACTGTGAACTCAGATTCTGACAGGCACAGATGTGATGAGAATTCAGTGAAGGTAGACAGCTCAACCACATGCCCCCTGCCCTGCTACACACACCCTTCCCAGACACAATCAGCCTCTGAAAACCTGTCCTTTCCAGTTTGACTCTGATACTCCGGGGGCAGAGATCACTGTAACTTACTAAGCATCGGTGTATGGCTGGCAGCCTGTCACGAATGAGCAAGAAAAAGCAGGACAAAGGAGCATGCGGCCACTGCCACTAGCATTCTCGTGCAAAGGCATACCCGTGGGGTATTCCAGATCAATTACTGATATCTCTAATTATCCAGCATGAAGCCTGGCCTTGAGTTTTGGGTTCAGGTTAGCATACAATACATGTTTTAAATGAACGACTTAAACAGGGAGTGTGGTTTTCAGTAAACCTAGAAAACTGAAAGGATGTAGGACAGGAGAAAATATTGCTCACGTGACTATTCCTACCCACCAATCACTTGACACATATTGCATGTTTTTGACCTATGACAGCTCTGTGCACTGTGTACAATTATTCTTGCTTAAGAGATAAGGAAAGTGAGGATTGATAGTTGGGATTGGTGAATTCTTTATACCCTTAGTTGTCAGAGATTGCATTTGAGCTTAGATTTTTTTTTTGGTATGACATCATTGCTTATATTTTCAAATATACAGTGGGACAAAAACACAAGAAGAAATATTGTTTAGGCTTATTGAATAACCGTTATTGGTTATAAGTTGCAGAATGATATTTCTTTTGAGTCATGATCCCTTTTTAAAATTCTTTATTAATTACATTTTATTCACTTTGTATCCCCCCTGTGGTTCCCTCACTCCTCCAGTCCCAATCCCTGCCTTCCTCCCCCTCTGCACCCATGCCCGGCCCCAAGTCCACTGATAGAGAAGGTATTCTTTTCCTTCTTTCTGATCCTAGTCTGTTAGGTCTCATCAGGAGCGGCTGTATTGTCTTCCTCCGTGGCCTGGTAAGGCTGCTCCCCCCTCAGGGAGAGGTGATCAAACAGCAGGCCAATCAGTTCATGTCAGAGACAGTCCCTGTTTCTATTACTATGGAACTCACTTGGACACTGAGCTGCCATGGGCTACATCTGTGCAGGGGTCCTAGGTTATCTCCATTCATGGTCCTTGTCTGGAGTATCTGTCTCAGGAAAGACCCCTGTGCTCAGATTTTTTGGTTCTGTTTTGAGCTTAGATTTTAACTCTTATACCTGGGATGCTCACATCCAATAACACCCAAGCTAACTTCACCTGAGTAGTGATATCCAGTGATATCTTTGATACATCAGTTTAGTCCTATTAAGTAACCTTTAATAAATAGTTTATATTGTAATCCCCAACCCATGGATGAGAAAACTGAGTCTCAAAAGAGTGACCTCTCTTGCCCAAGATGATACAGCTGGCATTCTAACCACATCAAGCAGCAAATCCTCTACTATTAAATAGCTAAAAGGAAAATGTGATTACTTGTTTGAAAGAAATTTATCATCTAGTAGATGAGCCATGCCTGTCTCACGGGAATCAGATCCTCCCACAGGCATTCACTGCTGAATTATATTCAAATAGTAAATAAATATACTTTCCTCCCCTTGTGTCCATCATCTTTCTCCTCTTTAGGTCTTGGCTGTGCTAAGGGAGCCACTTCAATGTGTCCTTTAGCTATTTCTTTGCCTATGGGAACTTGAGGTCCTTAAAATCTGAAATAATTTTCTCTTTGTATTGTAATGTCTAGGAGGAAATGCTTAATAGCCTTGGAGACACCAGTGAACAAATATGTAATTGAATGAATGAATGGACCTATATTAGGTTTCTACACTGGAAAAGACTTTAGAGAAAATTAATTTTTTTAATTGCTTTTGAGATAGCATCTTGCTATGTAGCTTTGGCTGTCCTGGAACTCACTCTGTAGACCAGGCTGGCCTCAAACTCACAGAGATCCACCTGCCACTGCCTCCCAAGTGCTGAGACTAAAGGTGTGTGCTCCCACCACACCTGAGAAAATTAACTTTCATGTCTTCATTTTACAGAATTCTTTCCTTGGATCTTAATGACTTGCTTAGAAGCTATTGCAGGAAAAACACACACATATAGACCCACACACATAGACACACACATACACAAAACACCAGCCTCACAACAATAGAGCAAACTAGAAAATGTGTCTCTCTTTGGACCAAACTTTTAAAAAAAATCTGAATTTTTTTTGTAGGGTGTTAGCTATATAGGGCACAGACTTGAAAACATGCCCTAATTTAGCAAGTGTTTTTTTTTATCCATAATGGGATTTCTAAATGTTATCTGTTTTTAGTACATAAGGATATCCTGAGAAAATTATTTAATATAATTGTGGCACTTGTTATACCATCCTTCTTCCTTCTATACCCAGTAGGATTACACAGCCAGAGGTGGTAGTCAGCAATGAGGGGGTTCTATATATACATTTGTGAGATTTTTCACGCATTACTTTTAAAAATACACAATTCCTGTGTCAGCAGTGAGGAATGCCCAAAAGCAGGGAGAGACTTGGAATGGACTCAACATATCAAAACAGTAATCTGACAACTTGTCATTCAAATCTGGACAAAACAGTAATCTGACAACTTGTCATTCAAATCTGGACATCTTGATATTGATATTGAAATCTTGATATTGATAAGGATATTATTACTAATTTACTAATTAAGGCTAGCATGTCCTAGGCATCACCCTATCTATCTACATTTACAGAAAAGTATGAAACACATTTCTGATGAAGGTAAGAGACATGGTTTATAGAACAAAATGGTGGAGAGAACTTTCTTAGGATTGTATGTAACGGTAAAATTCTGTGATTTTCTATTGAAGAATTTGGCATTATAAGGAAAGTCATAACACTTTCTTATTAGGCAATATGAATACAGGCTTGTATTTACACAAAAATCTTGAAGCAGTCAAAAAAATTCCTTATATCTCCATTCATATAACTCATTTTTATAATACTGCTTTGCTTAAAATCTTGTTTTAGAGCAGGGTTTGTCAACTTTAGCACTATTAACATTTTTAGCCAAGTGATATTTTGTCGTGGAGAAATGTTTTCTGTACCATGGCAAGTCCAGCAGCACACCTGGCCTTGCTCAATAGATCTCAATAGAGCATATCTATAGCCATATAGATATAAAGACATGTACCCTGGAAATATTGCCCCTGTTTGAGTTCACTATTCCAGAGGATGAGGCATGAAAACCTCACATAAGGGGGAAAAAGAATGGTTCTAACTCTTACCATATGACAAGAGCAAGCTGGAGGTTGATGAATAGTGAGTGCAGTAGACTATAAAATCTTCAAAATTCCCCTTTCACTCTGTCTATGCTGTTAATTCCCGACAGACATGACGATTCTCTTCACAAAAGCGGGCTAATGAGGACCTGCTTAAGACAATCTGCTTCTATTGAACAGCTTCTGCCTCCTCCAGGCACCCCTCTGACAGGTGTGGAGAGGAAACAATTCTGAAGAAAACACTATGAGGTGTCTGTAAATGAAAAGAGCGTGTGAACTAAACTGTGAGAAACAGTCTGGGAAGGTGTTCCATTTATAATCAGCCACACAGAGCCAGGGCATCCGAGACACCTGGACCGGAGGTTTCAATCCACTTAGTATTTATTGTGCATGACCAGGTTGGTCTGTGTCCCTTTTTATAAAATGAGGTTCACTCTTTGAACCTGAGCCTGAGGTCTCTGTGCAGTGTGACGGGTCAGCCAGACAGTCTACAGATGAGCACTTGGGAAATTGCAGAGGATGGTTGCCATGATCTAAGTGTTTATTCTGTCCCCAAATTTTCATTTTGAAATCTGAGTTGTCAAGGTGATGGAATTAAGATGTGAGGCCTTTAGGAGTACAATTTTCAGGAATGTAATTAAAACTCTTTAAAAAGTGAGACCCAAGGGAGTTCATTAGTTACTTCCAGCATCTGAGAGGACAACCAGAATATCATCTACAAATCAGAAAGCAGGTCCGCACATCCCAAATTCGCTGCACACTTTGGTCTTGAACCTTGAGCCTCCAGAACTATGAAGAACCAGTTTTTGTGGCTTATGATCCGTAGAGGTCATATTTGGTTAGGGCAGCTTGAAAGTACAGACATACAGGCCGCTTGGTCCGAAGGCAAAGGTTTCCAAAAGGTACACTAAATGATAGTTTTAAGTCATCTTCGGGTGACATTTCTTTCATCTTAATATGCCCACAGGCTTCACAATGGGAAGTAGCTAAGCCTCTCACACTCTCAAAGCCCCTGCTTTCTGTAAAAATAAACACCTGTGCTCAGAAGATATGGATTCTATTTCAGTAGGTCCAGGGAAAAGCCTAAAAGGTATTCTGTAACAACAATATAGGTAATTCTGAGCTAGTATATAAGAGGAGCACCCTCTGATACCAAAGCTCTAACTCAGCATAGGAGATGGGGAAAGTTCATCTTTTCCAGCATCTAAGGCAAAAAGAATACATAGAATTGTGAGTGAGTTGAAAATTTAACCATAAAACATTTTTTTTACCTCATTCTCCACTTAGCAAACTCTTGTTTATTTGAAGTTCAACCCCCAAATTAGACCTGCGTAACCTGTTCCCTTATTCTATCATTTCTTATGACATCCACTGAGCCGTGAGTATTTGGAAAAATTGATCCTAGCTTGGTTACATCTTATTTATCTCTGTCTGACCAGACTCTGATAACAGTCCCT